CGGGATGGATGTCTGGCGTGCTTTTCCGCCCCGGCCCCCTCATCCCCCGCCCACCAGCACCAGCCCGACTACCTTCGGGGCCTACGGTGCTGATAAGCAGCTCCGCTCTGCCCTGGGCCCTGCCCGCCGCGGCCAGCACGGGCAGGCTCCCCGGGGCGCCCTCGCTCACGAACAGTCTCATTTCGCCGTGGATCCCACGCTGATGCAACCGGAACCGGTCTCCTGCCCGTGGGCTGAGCGTCCGCCACGATGCATGCTGGGAAATGGAGTTCTGAACTGGGTCATTCCCTGGGCACCGCTCGCGGAAAGTAGACTATTTCTCCCATCATGCAACATCAGGAAACAGGGAAAGAATATCATCGAGATGGAGAGGCCGCAGAGGCTGTGCTAGAGTGGCACTTTTTTGGTGGCTGGGCTGGAGGAAGCGATTCCGTGTAGAGTCTGGCGTACTGCGCTTGAATCTACCGCAGCTGGGCGGTGGTGACGGAAACCAACGCCTTCTCTAGTCTTGCTGAAGTGGCATTGTCATGACAGGGACTACCACCAAAGGCCGACTCTCGATTCGGGTTCGCAAGAATAGGAATTATACAGTTGAGAGTTAGGATGAACTTAATTTAGTGACACAATGGAAATTAATGTAGATAGCCTATTAATAAAAAAGCATGTGACTATTAAATATTGGTTTAATACCAGTCGGCTGCTAGACAGTGTCAATGAAGGTGAGGGAGCCTGTGTAGCGACAAAGTCAGATTGAAGGGAAGTAAGAAGGCTGAGAGTTTGGCAGTGTTTATTTACGAGGAGGTACATATCAGTAATTGAGAAAGGAAGGCTTCTTATTCATTTTTGCATCCCTTTAAGAATAATTAATACCTGGGGTGCCTGGCTGGCTCAGTCAGAAGAGCACAGGACTGTTGATCTTGGGGTCATGAGTTCCAGCCCTATGATGGGTGTAGAGATTACTTAAATAAATAAACTTGAATAAACTTAAAAAGAATAATGACTAATAGTATTTATGAGTTAAGCACTGTTCTAAGTACTTTAATATATATATTAATTAACTCTCAAAAAAACCCTCTGGGGGATCTGGACCTTTTGAAGCGAAGCCCGGCAGCTTCTGCCCAGGCTTCTTGGAACACTGGTATCTCTGGCAGCCATGTAAGAAGTCTCACTACCTTGAGACTGCCATGCTGTAGAGGTCCCATGTTGACACTCTGGCTGACAGCTCCAGCTGATCCCAGCATTCCAGTCATTCCCATCAAGGTGTCAGGTATGTGAGTGAAGCTCTCCAGACCACGCCATCTGCCTGCTGAATATCACTAAGTGAATAGCCAATGCCACTGGGATGAAGAATCACCCAGCTGAGCCCTATCCAAATTTCTGTCCCATAAAATTGTGAGCTATAAGAAAATGGTTATTTAACAAAATGCAAACAAACAATGAGCTTGGTTCTCTCATTCTTGTTTTATAGATGAGGAAACCGAGGCACGGAGAGGTTACTTTGTGCCACACACTGTACGAGGCATTGAAGATGCAATTACCAACAAAACAGATATAGGCTTCTGCTTTGGCAGAGCTCACAGACTTCCTCGGAAGTCAAAAAATAAACTAATCTTTAAAGTTTCATGGAAGTCGTAATGGGCGATGTAAAACTTGCTGTGGGAGCTCCTAGTTAGGGCCCCAGCCCAATTCTAAGTGGTTAAGAGAGGCCTTCTTGTGCAAATGACCTTTCAGCTGAGATCAGAATGATAAGTAAGAGTTAGCCAGTGAAGATTGGTGAGGAAGTGTCTCAGGCAGAGGGAAAAAAATATACGCAAAGGACCAGAGACCTCAGTGCATTTTAGGAATCTGAGGAATTAGTGAGTGGTGAGACTATGGAGTTTGTGGTAGGGAGCATGAAAAGGCTAGGCTCAAGGGAGAAAGTCTCTGTAAACCATACTGTAAATTTTGGACTTGACTCTGAGGACAATGAGAAGCCTTTGAAATGTTAAGTCAGGGACATGGCAAGGCATTTTTGTGCTTTAGGTAGGTCACTCTGGCTGCTGTGCCAGGAAGGGACTGGAGGTGAGGAGAACCATAGGCAAGGAGACTAGTTAGGAGGCTATATCATCCAGACTAAGGAAGATGATGGTTGTAGAGTTTAAAGGAAGTAGGTAGATTGAAAAGATTTAGTAATCAACTAAATAGGAGTGGTAATAAAGCAGCAGAAATTAAGGTTGGCTGCCAGTTTCTTTCTTTTTTTTTTAAGATTTTATTTATTTATTTTGACTGAGAGGGATAGCGAGAAAGGGAACACAAGCAGGGGGAGTGGGAGAGGGAGAAGCAAGCTTCCTGTGGAGCAGGGAGCCCGACGTGGGGCTCGATCCCAGGACCCTGGGACCATGACCCCAGACGAAGGCAGACGCCTAACGAGTGAGCCACCCAGGCGCCCCTGGCTGCCAGGTTTCTGGCGTGCACAATTGGGTATACCCTGTATGTGCTCCAACAGATGATAGTATTTTCCTCTCATAGTGATTATCACACTGTATTTTGTTATGAGAGGGCAGGGGCCATATTTGTCCTCTTAATCAACAATGCCTAGCACACGGTTCCCGCCTGGCACATATGGTAGCAAGCATTCAATAAATATTTATTGAACTTAAATTTAACTAAATAGTGGTACTGGAGGAGAAACAGGTTTGTGGGGGAGGCTGACAAGTTCAGTTTAGAACATACTGTGTTTGGGGCACCTGGGTGGCTCAGTCGTTAAGCGTCTGCCTTCAGCTCAGGTCATGATCCCAGGGTCCTGGGATCGAGCCCCACATTGGGCTCCCAGATCCGCGGGAAGCCTGCTTCTCCCCCTCTCACTCTCCCTGCTTGTGTTCCCTCTCTCGCTGTGTCTCTTCTGTCAAATAAACAAAATCTTAAAAAAAAAAAAAAAAAGAACATACTGTGTCTGTGCTACTTTGGGCGTTGTGAAATATCCAAGTGCTTTTCAGTGGACAGTGGATTAAACTGGAGCTCCAGAGAAAGATCTGGACTGGAGATAGGGTACTCAACAGCATATGGAGGTCATTTAAGCTGGGGAGAAAATAAGACTACATCAAAGGGCACAAGATCTCGACAGACCTCTGGGGTTTAAGGAACAAGCAAAGTCCTTATGCAACAGAGAAGGGACTGCTAAGAAGGTAAGAACACCAGGAGTGTTTGTAGAAGGAGAGAATAGTCAATTGTGTTGGCTGCTGCTGCTGAAATGTCAAGCAACATAAGGCCTGCAAAGTACCCCTGTAAAGTCAGGGGTGACCCTAGGGAGGAGGGACCTTGCAGAGGTGAGGGAGTGAGGGGAGAGGAAATGGAGACCCCTATATGTAGGCAACTCTTTCAATAAGTTTGACTGTAAAGAGGAAAAGAGGGGGATAGGGTGGTAACCGAGGAGTATAGTAAAGGGAGATTTGGCTAAAGATGACTGAGACTTGAATATGTTTAAAAGCTAAAGGGAAGGAGGCTATAAAGAAAGAGAGGATAAAGTGCAGGAGAGTTGGCAGAGAAGGCCGAAGAGGAGATGTGAGCACTTAGCAAACACCAGATGGATGAATGAATGATGAATGAATGGGATGAAGTTGGGGACTACTGTGGAGGTGGGAGGGGATAGTTAAGGGGTAGGGTCCTCCCCATGTTGAATGAAAGTGGAGCCCACTGAGGAGGAAGATCACTGAGGCCAAATCCCAGGACTGGGAATCCGCCCTCAGATCACGTGTCAGGGAAGGAGCGTTGGCTCTTGGATGTCACCAAGGGGGAGGGGCAGTCCCTAGCCTACCTCTCCAAAGCCAGACCCAGAGCCAGACCCAGAGCCTCCCGTCATGCAGTGGGGAAACTGAGAGAAGGATAAAACAAGAGTGGTTAGGTAAGGAGGAAGCATCAGTCAGGGTGTGTTTTAAAGCCCTGGAAATAGACAGGGGAATTCAGTTCCCATCTTCCACCAAGGAAAAGCCGTCAGTCCCCCATCCACCCCCATATGCTGTCATAGCACCCTGTAATACTTGTCCAGAGTCCTTGATTCAATTGTAATTAATAGATGTATTGTGTCATTAGTTAAGATCTGTCCTTAAGCTCCACGAGGGCTGTGTCTATCTCCTTCCCCTCTCTTATCCCCAGGGCCTAACACTGTTCCTTTCACAAAGGAGGTGCTCAGCCAATCCCTGTTAAGAGCATGAATGAAGGAACCCGCACACTGACATAGGACTCTGCCCCAGAGACTATGTACAGAGTATTGTTTCAAGGCCTCTCAGCTCCCCAAACACATCCTGGATTGAGAGGATGGTGGTATTTTCACCTCTTCCTCTAACTTGGAACCCCTTTGTGTTTCTCCCAGCCACCTTCTCTTTCTCTCTACTTTGGTCTTACTATTTCTCTGGCTCTGGTTTCTCTGTCTCTGTGTTTCTCAGAGTCTGCACAGGAAGCACGCAGCTCTAGGTCTGAGGCTATTGGTAACGGAAACATTGGTGCCTGTATATATTTAATAAAGGTCACAAACTTTTTTTATCCGTGTCATTAATTTCTGTCTCTTTGCCTGTGTTCTGTCTCAGACCTGATTCTCTCTCTTCATCCTCCTGTGTCCAGCTCAAAAGTCCTACCACCACCCAGGACCCGCTCCTCCTGCCCGTGGATTTTCTGATGGGCCCCAGAAGGTACTTGAAGGAAAATCACCGGGCTAGCCTCTCTCCCCTGATTTCCTGCCCTGCTGGCCTCGTAGCTCTGCTGACCACATCCTCTCTCACCTTACTTATATACTTCCTTACCAGTCACGTCGCCCGGGAGTTCTCAGTCCCCTTAACCTGTAGATGACCCCCACCCAGGCTCTCCGCCTTACCCTCTGCTCTCATTCTGAGGTTCCTCTCCTTATGTTTCTCCCTATCTCCCTACGCTGTTCTTAGAACCATGTCTCTCTGCTTGGAAGCAGCCAGTCGCGTCCTTTGCTGGATCTCCAACACCCCTTTTTCCCACAGGTGACGGTACTGACTACAATGCTGTCAGGCCGGTGGTGGTCAAGTACCCGGGGGAGCCTTGGGCTGGGGCCCCAAAGCCCTCCTCGGGGATCCCAGCTCTGTGCCCTCTATGCCTTCACTTACACTGGGACAGATGGCCGGCAAGTGTCCCTGGCCGAAGGGGACAGGTTTCTACTGCTTCGAAAGACCAACTCAGACTGGTGGCTGGCAAGGCGCCTGGGAGCACCCCCCACTTCTCGACCCATCTTTGTCCCAGCTGCCTACATGACAGAGGAATCTATCCCTTCCCAGAGCCCAACCATCATCACCCCGAGCCAATCCCTCTGGACACCCGGTGAGTACTCCCTTCACCTTCCTACCTCCCCTCCCTGGCTTCTAGGAATTATTGGAAGGATCTTTCTCCCTCAAAGCGTCTGCTGACCCCCTTCTCTTATTTCCCTCTGATCAGCCTACTCGTCATCCCCATCACAGTGTCGCCATTGCCTCTCCTCCTACTCTTACGCTTTCTAGGTCTCATGTACTTTTCCACAACCTCCCCTGCTCTTGTCTTCCTTGTGAGTCCCCAGGATGAGGGATCCAGCCAAGATCACCCCTCTGAGCACCTGCCCCCACTCTTCCTGTTTCTCTGTTTCCAGGGCCAAAGTTGTTTCATGGCTCTATGGAGGAGTTGCACCTGTCCCAGGAACCCCCAGGCAGGACCCAGACCACCTCTAAGCAGCCTCCTCCTCTTCCCCCCAAAATGTGTAGAAGCGTCAGTGTTACCAATCTGAGGCCTACCGTCCTGAGACCCTTCCAGGAAAGAACAAGTGGCAGATCCTTCTCTCAGGAAGACTTACTGCCAGAGGCCAGTGCCAACGCGGTGAGTCACAGCCCTTCTGAGCGGAGTAAAGAGTAAACGGCTATTTACTGCTGGGCCCTGTTCTAGGCACAATGGCAAACCAGGCGGACAGAATCTCTGCCCTCAAGGGATTCCCATGGGGGTGACAAACACATAAACAAGTAACTGTTGGTACTGGTAAGTGCTACCTAGAAGCATAAATGTAGAGAGTGATGGAGATAATCTGGGAAGGCATCTCCCAGGAAATGACATGCAGTTGATCCGAATGAGGAGGAGGGAGAAATAGCCAGGAACCGAACTAGGAAATGAGAAGGAATTCTAGCTGAGGGATAGCAAGTAGCAAGGATCCTGAGGATACATGGAACCTGGCAAATGACAGAGGGACCGAGAAAAAGCCAAGGAGCTATGTTTTTCTTTCTTCCTCCTGACTCCTGGTCCAGGGCAGGGCTTTTTCCTGTGTCCCATCTTACCGGCTCAGGTCACTAGCAAGTCTCACTTAGAGATGTAACTCCCTTGCTCCTCTTGAAGACTCAGCTCCTCCCCTCTCTCTTACTTGCTGGTGGATTAAAATGGCCCCTCCTCTTTCATACTCCCCTAGTAGGGGTCCCTGACCCCTCTCCCTCTCATCCCTTTCACTCTGGAGAATGTGAGGGTGGGGCACTCCCCTCAACCACCCCCCCCCACCCCCACACACAAAAAGCCGGTTCCCCTTTCCTGAGGCCCTGGGGTAGGGGCGGGGTGGGGGAGGAGGGAAGTTGGCAACAGGAAGTGAGGAGGAGAAAAGCAAAGAAGACTGAGGGAGGGAGTAAAAAAAAAATCCACCCAGCTGGGGACTGGGGTTTCTTCCCCAGTACCTGGGTCACCCCAGCCAGGAGCTGGGGGTGAGAAAACAGTGGGGGAGAGAGGAGGAGGTGGTTAGGTGGAGAGAAGACTGGGGAGGGACACAGGCAGGGTAACTACCTTTTTCTTCCCCCTTTCCTGGCAGGCAAGACCCCAGCCCCTCATGTCAGAGCACCCCGTGTACTGCAACCTAGTGGACCTCCGCCGCTGTCCCCGGTCTCCTCCCCCAAGCCCTGCGTGCCCCCCACTGCAGAGGCTGGACTCCTGGGAGCAGCACTTGGACCCTAACTCCGGACGCTGCTTCTACATAAATTCGCTGACTGGCTGCAAGTCCTGGAAGCCCCCGCGCCACACTCGCGTGCGGGAGATGGTGAGACTTTCCCTCCTGCCTCTTCCTGTGTCCCCTCCACCTCCTCCTTTCCCCTACTGAACCCCAAAGTGGCGTGCTTTCTCTCAGGGCCTGCCATCAGAAAATCGTTGAGAAGGGTGTTGAGAGCGGGTTGAGGTGGCATCTGGCTGTAGCTTTACTCCTCACCCACCCCACCCCCCAGAACCCTGGCTCCATGGAGGGGACGCAGACCTGGAATAGGGACAATGGTGTCCTGCAACCTCAGGCAAAGGGCTCAGAATCTGATACGGCGACCCTGGAACTGCTGGACCCCCAGGTGAGAGCCCCTCCCTCCTGATCACATGCAGGAAAAGCCATCTTTTTACTACACTCTTTTATGCAAGACGTTCATCTGTAACCCATCACACCCCCTGCCTCTCACCCACATCCGCAGCCCTCTTCCCCCTATAGCCGGGACTCCGAAGTTGGTTTCCTCCACCTGTTTCTCTGATCCCCTCCCTCCCAGGGTTCACCCTACCTCGGCCAGCGCACCTCCCAACTCCACCCCTCAGACCAGCCTTTAGCCTTGCAGCCCTCTCGACCTCTGCCGCAGGTCCTGGACGACCCCCATGTAAGTCACCCACTTCCTTGTGCAGGCCAAGATCCTCACTGCCCCACCCCCCAATTCCTGCTCCTTTAGAAACATCTTCCTCTTTCCGAGTGTTCTCTGGGTATCCTCTCTTACACAGGTTCCGCCACCCGCCCAACCATAAAGGACCTCACTCCTGGGACACCACCCCCTCTTGGGAAAGCCGTGGGGGCTGTGGGGGGCGTTGGGTGGCTTACTAATACCCCTCGCTCCACTCCCCAGGAGGTGGAAAAGTCGGGCCTGCTCAACGTGACCAAGATCGCCCTGGGGGGGCGGAAGCTCAGGTGACAGGACCCGGGAATACCGCAGGGGCCTGGGCGGCTGGATTCCCTGGAGCCGAGCGCGGGGAGAGCGCCCTCCCCACGTGGTTCTACCTGACCTCTGCCCTACTACCACTGCCCCCTCCGCCCCTGCAGGAAGAACTGGAGCCCCTCTTGGGTGGTATTAGCAGGTAACAGCTTGGTGTTCTACCGGGAGCCACCGCCCGCCGCGCCCTCCTCAACCTGGGTGAGTGTGAGGGAGGGGAGGAGGGGGCGTGCAGGAAAGGGTTGGGGCCCCGATTCCTACGGCCTCGGACCAGCTGTGGGGCGGAGGTGGGAGAGGGGGGAGTAGAGGAAGAAGCACAACTTCCCGTGTCCTCGGAGTCCCCCGGGTGGGAGGGAGGCAACGAGGGGAACAGGGCCTCAGTTTCTCCCAATTGCCAGGGACCAGCGGGTAGCCGACCCGAAAGCAGCGTGGACCTGCGCGGAGCCGCCCTGGCCCACGGCCGCCACCTGTCCAGCCGCCGCAACGTCCTGCACGTGAGTGCGTCCTGCGCGTACCCAAAGCTCCACCCGACCCGAAGGTGCGCCCCGGGTTTCCCCGCATCGGTCTTCCGCTCAGCCTCCCAGCTTTTTGTGCGCCCTCCCGCTGACTCAAGCAAGCCCTTTCTCCGCTGGTCCCTCAGATCCGCACTGTCCCTGGCCACGAGTTCCTGCTGCAATCAGACCAGGAGACCGAGTTGCGAGCCTGGCACCGCGCGCTGCGGGCGGTCATCGAACGCCTGGTGAGATGGGTGGGAGATGGTGGGGCAGAGTCCGGGGAGAGGCTCTGACCGGGTGGGACAGAGGGAGTGGGGAAGGAACAGTAGGATTCGGGGCTGGTAGGGGGCAGGGTGGTCTCAGTGTAGGGCCCTGGGGTGGGGCTGGGACTTGGGACCCCAGCAGCCAGCTAGGGCCTCCTTGCGTCGAGCTGGGGGGTGCAGATTTCTCTCTCCTTTTTTCCAATCTCCGACTCGGCCCACCTCGCCCTTCCGGGTCTAGGATCGAGAGAACCCCCTGGAACTGCGTCAGTCAGGTTCGGGGCCGGCAGAGCTGGAGGAGCTGAGCGGCGGGGAGGACGACGAGGAGGAGTCAGAGCCGGTGTCCAAGCCACTGTTGCGGATCAGCTGCCGCCGGAGCTCCAGTGAGGGGCGGGCCTCGGGTGGGCGGGCCCGGGGGCGCGTGTCCCGTCTCGGTCGGCTCCTTCCCCGCGGCTGTCTCGCGCCCTCGTTCCACCTGCTCCTACAGGTCGGTGTCCCGAAGGAACGGAGCAGAACCGCGTACGGAACAAACTAAAGCGGCTTATCGCCAAGAGACCACCCTTGCAAAGCCTGCAGGAGCGTGGGCTGCTCCGAGGTGAGGTGGGCTGGGCCAGGGGCACCCTTCTCCTCCGTACCTGCTGTAGTATTTTTGCAAGCACTTTTATATTCCTCATCTGGGCATCAGCCCACTTCGTGGATGAGAAAATTTCAGTGAGACTCACAGTAGAATGTCCCAGAACTAGATCAGCGGTCTTCTGCTCCTCTACTGCTTAATTTTGGGGAAGGAAGTGTGCACCTCTTTGCGGGGGTGTGGGGGGGTGGGGGTGGGGCTAGAAAAGGCAGCCAGGAGGGCCAGCCCAACTTTGGGATGAAGACCTGTGCTAAGAGCTTCCATGGGTGACGCTCCCACTGGCCTCCCACCTCACTCTGTGCCTCTCCAGACCAGGTGTTCGGCTGCCAGTTGGAATCACTGTGCCAGAGGGAAGGAGACACCGTGCCCAGCTTTGTGCGGCTCTGCATTGCTGCTGTGGATAAGAGAGGTCACTTTTCCAGAGACCCCACAACCTCCCCTTCCAACCAGCCAAGGCCTAGAATTCCCCACCTCCCCCACCCTAGTCTTCCTTCTGCCTTATTCCTCTCCACCCTTGCATCTCTCACCAGTCCTCACCTTACACAGGTTACAGCAGGAATCCTTATTTAATTTAGAGCAGGAATCCTTATTTGCTCCCTACCTCATCTCCCAGGTCTGGATGTGGATGGCATTTACCGGGTGAGTGGGAATCTGGCGGTGGTCCAAAAACTTCGCTTCCTGGTGGACAGAGGTAAGAAGGCTTGTGGGTATGTGGTGGTACTACGAATTTCATGCCTCGGAACCACAGGCAGTTTCTCAGGGAGCTGGCAGAACGGGGAGGTCTGGCTAGAACTGCATGGCTTAGCTCTTGATCTCTTATCCATGTTGCAGAGCGGGCGGTCACCTCCGATGGGAGGTATGTGTTCCCAGAACAGCCAGGACAAGGTACTTACTTGGAAGGCCCCTCAGACCCTTAAAACATCTGACATCCTCCCTACTCCTTCTGGATCCCTGTGTCCTGCCCCTGGGTGGGTTGTCCCCATCCCCACCTCTGCTGCCTTGCCCCCCTGTGGATCTCCTAGGTATTTCTGTGGTCTGCCTTAACTGGATCTTCTCCCAAACTCCTGACCTCTCAGTCTCTGGATCTCTCTGGCCCTTCATGAGCCCTGAGCCTCTCTGTACCTCCTTCTCTTCCCAGAAGGCCGATTAGATTTGGACAGTGCTGAGTGGGATGATATTCACGTGGTCACTGGAGCCCTGAAGCTTTTTCTCAGGGAGCTACCCCAGCCTCTGGTGCCCCCGTTGCTGCTGCCCCATTTTCGTGCTGCCCTTGGTAAGGGATGAGAACTTTGGGCAATACCCTTGGTATGGGGGTGGGGCGTGAAGGGTAAAGAATAGTTTCCCTCACACCCTTCTATTCCAAACTGAGCACAGAGATGGGAAACAACTTTCAACTCCTGTGCCAACTCCAGTTATTATTTGTGTGTGTGTGTGAATGTTTAGAAAGCTGACTTAAAAAGAATTCTAAAGCTGCAGTTGGGGGGGCTCCTGGCTGGCTCAATCGGTAGAACATTTGACTCTCGATCTCAGGGTTATGACTTTCAGCCTCATGTTGGGTGTAGAGATTACTTAAAAATAAAATCTTTTTTTTTAAGTTTGTGACAATTAAAGATTTTATTTATGTTTTAACGGAGAGAGAGACAGCGAGAGAGGGAACACAAGCAGGGGGAGTGGGAGAGGGAGAAGCAGGCTTCTCACTGAGCAGGGAGCCCGATGTGGGGCTCGATCCCAGGACCCTGGGATCATGACCTGAGCTGAAGGCAGACGCTTAACGACTGAGCCACCCAGGCACCCCTTAAAAATAAAATCTTAAAATAATAATAATAATAATAAAGCTGCAGTTAGGCTCAGCAGAAAAGAAAGCTGCGGTAGATTAATGGTGTCTTCCATGGGCGTGGGAAAGAATAGCAAGTTTACCCACCCTTCCCTAGCACCTTCCAGAGCCTCACGCCCCACCCCATACCCTTCCCTTCACTTTTTCTCTCTAGCAGTCTCCGAATCAGAGCAGCGCCTCTTTCAAATACGCGAATTAATAGGCTCGATGCCCAAGCCCAACCGTGACACTCTGCGGTACCTCCTGGAACATTTATGCAGGTCAGGACGACTGAACATTTCTGTGTATGCGGAGGGAGGGTGGAGTGGGGCATGCAGCGGGGACTGTTCAGAAGCAGTGAAGGTAGGGGACACCTGGGTTTCTCACCTGTTTAGTGGGCAGATAGAGGAAACAGGCAACCTCCGGGCAGGTCATGAAGTGGGGAAATGGGGATCAAGAGATGCCCTGGGATGCTGTGAGAGAAATGAGGGCCATCTCACTGCTCCCTTCCCCTGGCCTCTTTGTCTCCTGTTGGGACCCTGCTCATGGCTTCCGTGGCTGAGCTGGACCTGGGCGGTGGCTTCTGAGAGAGGATAGCCATTTGAATTAGAGTCGCCTAATCTGTGAAAAAAGAGGACTCTAGGGGCAGTCTCTGAAGCTGGGAAGAGGCAGGCATCTCCTGGGTTGTATTTTCCAACCTGTATCCTGAAGGTGTCTCTACTGGTCCCATCTTCATGCACCTTGCGCCTCTCTGCTTGGTTGCCTTCAGCCACCAACCACATGGAGGGGTCCCAAAGTGAACTCTTTGCTGTTCATCCCTTTGAAGGGTTTGATTTATTTGAAGCGGGGAAGCTGCTGCATTATAGCCCCTTCTCTCAATCTTTGCCCACAGGGTGATAGCACACTCAGATAAGAACCGCATGACCCCCCACAACCTGGGAATTGTGTTTGGGCCAACCCTATTTCGGCCAGAGCAGGAGACATCTGACCCAGCCGCCCATGCTCTCTACCCTGGGCAGCTAGTCCAACTCATGCTCACTGACTTCACCAGCCTTTTCCCCTGACTGGGGCAAGGAAGAAGACAAAAACATGTTTCCACTGATCTCTGTTGGCTACCCTTTGGTGGTGGAGGGGATAGTGGATGTTCTGTTTTGAGGACATCCCATTAAATCCTGTGTCTCCCAGATGACTGTCTTTGTGAGTCTGACCTGAGGGGTTGGGATGGGGTGGGGGAGCCTCCCAAAAAAGGGAAGTGGGTGGATTAACCTCTACTTCTCTTCTTGTTCCCTGTCATCAACCACCCCCCAAGATAGGAAAGTGTAAAGCAGGGTGCTTTCTGATGCAGTTCCTTTATTATCCAGAAACAGTGTCATTATCAAATTCCTCCCCAAAACATATACAGAAGGTATACAGCCCCACCCATACCTCCCATCCCTGGGGCATCCCAAGGGGCTATGGCTCCTCATCCCAACTTCTCTGAGGGAATGGAAACCCCTTAGGAAATGGATCTGTGATTCCTGGGATTCCTCACTCTTCAGGCGCTAGAGTTGAGGAATTGTGTCTCCCCAGGCAGGGATCCCAGTAAGATACTCATGTTGCCCACAGCCATGTTGGGGGGCCCAGAGGGAGGTGGGGTGTGTTCAGAGCTGTCCCCCTGATCATGGGAAGGGGGAGGACTCAGCCCCTGGGCCTCATCCAGAATAGCCACAAAGTCCAGCTGAGTGTTGTCAAGGTCAAGAGAGTCCAGAGGGTTGCACACCTGCCCTTCAGGAGGAGCATACAAGGCAGGACCCCCTCCCAGCCTGCCCGCCTCAGGATGGCCGCAACTGGGGTTGGTGCTCCCTGCCTTGAGGGTCCCATAGCAAGTGGGCAGTGGGGGCAGAAGTCGGGGTGGTGCTGTTGCCCTATGGGGGGCCTTGTTTGCCCCCACTGCAAAATTTTCATGGCAGGTTGGAGGGGCGGGATAGGAGCCCGACTTGTGATTGGGCAAGTTGGGTGCAAAGCCAGGTCCATATGTGGCCATTGGACCCTTGGCAGGGCTTGGGCTAACCTGGGAACCCCCTAGAAACTTGGGACTCTGGTAGAGAGGTTCCTGGACTGGGGGATCTCCCCTGCCCCCACCCTCCCAGAGCAGTTCCTGTTGAGACTGAACATAATTACACACCAGCTGAGCCTTGAGTTGTCCTGTGGAGTGAGTGGGGGAATCAAAGTCCAGGCCAGGCCTGGGCTCTGAAGGAAGATAATCAGGGGGTGGCTGGGTATAGGCACCTGACTGGGGATATTGGGGAGGGGGAGGCTGGGGGTAGTGGGAGAACAGAGGCTGTGGACGAGGAGGCCCATCACTGGGGTGAGCATTGAGGCAGGGCGCCAGTCCTGTGGAATCAGAACCCACTGGACACCCCTGTTCTGGCTTGACCTGCACTTGTCCATAATGTTCAAGACGAGGACACTGACTGTAGACTCCAGCTGGAGCCTTGGGGCCTGGGTACAGCCCGGAGTGGGAAGGGAACTCACCCCATGGTTCAGGGGGTGGTTCAAGATAGGACACCTGCTGGGGACAGGGGTTTGGCCCATAATTGGTGGGTGGACCAGGCCCAAGAGGCAGGGAGCCTGGACCCCTAGCTCCATAAGGTTCAGCCGCTGCCCCCTCGGGTCCCCCATATCCCAAAGTATCAGTGGGTGGGAAGTCCATATAGGGGTTTAGACTGCTGCCTATCATGGAGGTCCCACCTTCTGGCTCCTCCTGCAGTCCTCTGGTATCCATGGCGACATTCTCAGTGATGCTGGGGGGCTGTGGTGAGTAGACAGCGGTTGGGAGTTGGGGATCGAAGTTCCGTCCTCCCCCTGCCATGGTGGGGGGCGTGTGGACACAACCCAAGCTCTTGAACCGCTGGACTCTGGCTGGGGCAGGGCGGTCAACAGCCCGGGCCGGGTCACTGGCCCTCCGGGTGACCCCTGCGCTGGGGTTGTATCCTGGATACTCAGCTCGGCTTCTCCAGGGAGGTGCAGGAAGGCTCCCCATCCGATCCAGGCTGGGTGCTGCCGTGGGTGGGGTACCACCTCCCCTGGCTGAAGCATATCTTGCCCGGAGCAGGTAGTGCTGGGCAGGGGTGAGGCCGGGCAGAGAGGATGCCCCGTTCTCGGGCGGGGAACCAGGGGGGTAAGGGGAGGCCAGGGAGGAGCGGCGGCTGACGGTATAGGCTGAACTGATGCTGCTGGAGCTGCTGCTGCGGCGGTCAAGAGAAACTGGGGGGCCCAGGCGGCGGGACACAGGGGTGCCTACAAGGGATAAGGAGAAAAAGCAGGGTGGTCAGGGAGCCCTCTGAATCTCACCCTGCCTCCCCCATGGGACAGCCTTGTCCTGGAATCCTAGGGACAGGCTCCTTAACTCTGACGACTCAGACCCCAGGACGACCCATGCCCTTTCTACGTCTGTGTCACCAGGGATTCAGAACTACCGTGAACAGTTGTGTAGGTTGTACACTGCACAGCTCTAGGGAGCAGCATTCACGTCATACTTTGTGTATCACAATTACCTGATGGATGGAAGGAAAGTGTCTGAGGAAGGGGGACCTTTCGCTAACTATACAGAGGTGCTATAGGGCAACCCTGAGGAGGGAAGTCCTCCTTCCAACTTCAGAGAAGGTCCAGATCTCAGCCCAGCGACTACCTCCACACCCAGGTCTCACCAGTATGGGTCAGGCTGGGCAGTTTGAGGCCCCGGGGCCCCATCGGCCGAAGTTGATGTAGCTGGTCCAGTCTGAGGTTCTCAAGGCGTCGAAGAGTGGACAGACCAGTGCCAGCAATGCAAGGCCCCTCATCCAAGCTGGACAGGTCCTCAGTGCTGCCCCCTGCATTTCCAGTCATTTCCACACCACTATCTGTGTTGGCGGCACTGCCTGCTGGGGAGTGGTCGCTGCTGCAGGACGACTGGGCCCCAGGGCTGGGCTGTGGCTTCTGCGGGGAACATGAGGGCTGAGGGCGGCCCCTCCTCCCCACCCCCCAAGTTCCCTGAACTTGGTGAGTGGCTCAAGCCTGTGTCTCAGTGACTGCTCAGACCGAGGGGAAGCTTACAGGTGTAGGGAGGGCTGAGCAGGTGAGGGGAGGGGGCAAACTGGAGAGATGTTGATGAGAAGAGCCTAGGATGGAGCACAGACCGCCTGGGTTCAAATTTGCACTTAGTTCGGTGACCTTGGACCATTTGTCTATATGCCTGAGTTTCGTCATCTGAAAATGTGGAGAGGAAGTTCCTTTTCCACGAAGCTGTTGTGAGGAGTACATGAAATTATAATCCTACTAATTGAATTTTACATGTAAACTATACATAAATTAGAATAATATACTAAGCCCCATATAAGAGTTTGTTGAGGGTGCCTGGGTGGCTCAGATAGTTAAGTGTCTGCCTTCGGCTCAGGTCATGATCCCAGAGTCCTGGGATCAAGTCCCGCATCAGGCTCCCTGCTCAGTGGGGAGCCTGCTTCTCCCTCTGCTCCTCTCTCTCTCTCTCTCTGTCTCTCATGAATAAATAAATAAAAAAAATCTTTAAAAAAAAAAGTTTAGGGCGCCTGGGTGGCTCAGTTGGTTAAGCGACTGCCTTCGGCTCAGGTCATGATCCTGGAGTCCCGGGATCGAGTCCCGCATCGGGCTCCCTGCTCAGCGGGGAGTCTGCTTTTCCCTCTGACCCTCTCCCCTCTCATGCTCTCTCTCTATCTCATTCTCTCTCTCAAATAAATAAATAAGATCTTTAAAAAAAAAAAAGTTTAGGGCGCCTGGGTGGCTCAGATGGTTAAGCGTCTGCCTTCGGCTCGGGTCATGATCCCAGGGTCCTGGGATCGAGTCCTGCATCGGGCTCCCTGCTCCTTGGGAGCCTGCTTCTCCCTCTGCTTCTCTCTCTCTCTCTCTCTCTGTCTCTCATGAATAAATAAATAAAAATAAAATAAAATAAAATTTAAAAAATAAAAATAAATTAAAAAAAAGTTAAAAAAAAAAGAGTTTGTTGAACCAATTCAATAATTAATTATACGAAAATCTCTTGATTTGGGGTAACCCAAGGAGCACCACTGGGGTAAGAGACCGGAGGACTTGCAGAGAAGAGTGATTTACAGAGGAGGACATGAAGAGTTGGGAGGGGACTGGAAGGATGTGGGCAGGGCAGGCCGGGGCATGGAGGCAGGAGTCGCCTGGGCCAGCTCACCACGGCCCCCTCCGGCACGGTCAGTCTGCTCTCCTCCCTGATGGGGCCTCCATCCCGCTCCCTCTTGGGCTCCACTGTGGACAGAGACGGTGCCCTGGGCAGGGGGCCATCTCCTCGGTGCCGCTTGGTCACATGGGCATCAGGACCATGCACTGTCTTGACGTGTTTCCGGAGCGAGCTGGGATCTGTGTAGCGTTTGGTGCAGCCAGGGAGCTTACAAACATATGGCTTCTGTTGGGTGGAAAGTGAAGACATCAGGCAAAGGAATCAAAGCAGGAGAGTGCGGAAGGCATGGGAAGAAGAGGTGGCATCAGTTGGGGACGAGGGGGTCAGGGAGGAATGCACAGCACCCAGGGAATTAAGGAGAGAGGGGGGTCCTTGGAGTAAAAAATGAGAGGGTCAAGGGAAAGATTAGGAAAACTGACAGCCCAGGTCTGTGAGGCTTCATAAAGCCAGGGGTTGAAGGGACCATGGGTCCCCTCCAGGCCGAATGGGTCTATTTAGGTTGGCCCTTTGGCTGGTTAGAGGTAGCGGGTGGGGTGGTTATGTGGAAGTTCTTGGTTTCAGAAAGACCTTATCCAGGTGAATGAGGTGGGGGACAGGGACTCACCTCTGTGGAGCGGGTGCTGGGCTAAGGGATTTCTTATGGGGGAATCTGCCCAGTAACTGGCTTCTCAAGTGGGGAGGGTCCCTTAGGTGGGGCATTCACCTCATTGGAGTGGGTCCGATTCTGGTGCTTGGCTCGGTCACTGGCATTGCTGAAGGCTTTACTGCAGCCCTCGTGCTCACACATGTATGGCTTCTCACCCGTGTGTGACCGCAGGTGCGTCTTCAGATTTTCGAGGCGTGAGTATGACTTCCGGCACCCCTCAAACTAGGGGATGTTGGGGTCAAAAGATAGCTCTCAGACAGAAGGACATGGAGATTAGAAGAACCGTAAATCTCAAAGGGGACATATATCAGAGACTATAACTCAAGATGCGAGGG